CACCAAACCGCACAGATCGACAATGTGGCCTACGAGCCCAAGTACAGCGCCGTGCTGACCGAGCTCCAGGCCCGACTGTCCAACTGGCAGAACGTGACCTTTGACCCCTGGATCTGTGACCAGGGCCAGGTTCTGCTGGACAACCAGTGCCTCAGCTACTTGTGAACACACACACACATACGTCACCACCACCATAGCATGAGACTTCGCTCGCGCAAACTTTCAGTGACACTGTAAAACTTGTAGTAAAGACAGCTCCACAAAGGAGCGGGACAGAGGGTGCGTGCCTCGTGACGCAAGAGAGCGGAGGAATGTGGGACGAACTTGATTTGAACAATTAAATTAATAACTAATCAGCTGTTGTAAACACTTCAGTTGGATCCATCGTTGTACTTTGTTTTGTTTTAGTAAGAGTAAGAGTTTTAAGGCACTTGCAACACGATAAGGTCATATAAATCGAGATTAGAGGCATTACAAGAGAGTAATCACCAACAACAACAAAAAGGAGAGATAAGGACGATGTGATAAGAAAAAAAGAGCAATTCACACCAGAGCACCCGCCAACCACCACCCACATCGTTACACATGTACTTTGATGAGCAATTTACTGATAAATAAACGTTATAAAAATGAATTTACATTTCAATTGGGGGGGAGACAATCAAGAAAGAACTTAAAGAGCAAACAGCCTTTCTCCTGTTTGTTTTCAATCACAGTTAACTTCAACATTGAAAACACGCACATTTGTTGGACTACAAAACGCAAAAGCGCCGGTTGAAAAAAAGGGCACGATTTAAAATTTTAAAAAAGACCATACATTTTCGAGTTGTGTGTCATGTTATTTTGTGTTTAGTTTTTCTTACGTACTTTTCTTGATAAATTAAATGTCAATTTTTATGCAATGCATATTCTTGTACATGTAATTATGACTGTAATTAAATTCTAATTACTTCCTTGGATGAAACGGGTTTTTTTTCTTTTTCCTCCTTTATTTGCCTTTTATTTAAAAAGGTCTTGCTACTTATAATGCAGCTATTACTATTATTAATATACTATAAATCTCTAGATATACATTGATTTTATAAAACCTTGATACTTCGGTACCTAGGAATTACAAAGTTATATTTGACATTTTTGGCCGTTCTGAGTTACAAAGACCACGAGGTGAGAAATCAAATGTTTTGTCTACTCTATCAAAACCGTAACATTATTCAGAGTCGTTATCAGGATATTCAAAAAAATTCTTTAGCAAAAGCTTGACATGATATGAAACTTAAAATCTTTGACGTCAAATTACCCAAAACTAGGTGCTGAGCAGATGCATTTTTGAAGATCATAATCTGCCAATTTGCTACCTACAACCAGCTTACAAAAATACCCTAACATACCTGCCACTATACGGTCTTCCCACTTAGCTCCTCTCGACACTTGTCTTGGCACGATAGAATAGGCTAACACTAACAATGTCACCTTAACAGAGACTAAGCCCACTAATTCAGAACTTCACAGTGACCGTAAGGATGGTTCCAGTAGAGAGCGGGATAGAGGGTGCCCACGTCCCTCGTGACTCACTGGAGCAGAGGAAGATAGGACTAACGCTACCATTACTTAAAAACGCAATTCCACATCATCACTTATCACCACCATTATATCTAAAATCATCACCGCTCTCAGATCAATAACTAATAATCCTGGAATCTCTCTGCTATTAGAGTTACTTGTTATACTAAGTATACATGTAATACACAATTGGACACTATCATACGCACTTTTTTTCTACTAATCAGATGGCGTCAATCTCATATAAATGGGCAAGGGATAAAAAAAAGGTGCTGAGCATGTCTTCTTCTTCTATCCCGTGGTTGGGGCAACTGTGGGGGCACCACTGCATCTGAAAACCAGCTCTCGCCATCTATTTTGTCCTCTGCTTTCCTCAGATTGCCACCCATAGTCTTTCCTGTCCACTCTGTAATGTTTTCCTCCCATCTCCTTCTCTGCTTTCCTCTCTTTCTCTTTCCTTGTATGGTTCCTTGCAGGATTGTTTTGGCAAGTCCTGTGGATCTTGTCACATGCCCATACCATTTAAATTTTCGTCTCTTTACTGTGGTCAGTACATCTTTATACTGCCCCACTGCGTTGGCGATTCTCTTTCGTAACTCAGCATTTGAAACGTGGTCTTCGTACGAGATGTCAAGGAGTCTGCGGTAACATCCCATCTCTGAGGTCTGAATCTTACAGACTCTGCTGAGCAGATAGAACTTTGTAATTCAGAGGTAGCAACTTGTTACGAACCATACGTTCTTGGTCGAATTTCGTGGGGGTTTTTTAAATTCCGAACTGTTTCGTCATCATTTGTAACATGGCAGCCACTCAATCCAATACATACAAGGTTCTCCCTGATTGTCACAGCAATGGCAGCAAATATGATTATTCTCGCAGTCTGACCAGTCCACAGATTTCTGGACTCGTCGGTCTGGGATTTACCAGTGACACCCTCCAACCACCCGCAGGCACCATCTATCATGTATTATCTTTCGTCAGCAAGCTGTTCAACTGTCCTAAGCCCAGAAATAATTTTTTTAGGAGAGAAAAAAGGTTTTATTCTTTAAACAATCATGCACCTAAATCATGTATCTTTTCTTTCTTTTATCAACATTTAGAATTTGAACTTTAAAAAAATGCACATGCAACCAATAATAAAGTTTAAGGGGGGGGGCTCTCATGGTCTAGAAGTTATGGTGTTCGCCACTTATTCAATAGGTCCCAGGTTTGAAATCTGACAGGAACAAATAATTGCCTTCTCCAAAATTTTCTCCTTCCACCTCCTTTTCTGCTATCCCATGTTCTGTTGTCTACTCTCATCTCCTCTTTCTGCCCCCACCCCCTTTGCCTCCTGCTTTGGGCTCCTAACTATTTCTGTAGCCTTTCTACCGTTACTCTTCGGATTCTTCTTATCTTACTGCTGTCTTTCAGCCACTCTCCTGATCTTCCGGTAGGTAAGATCTGCACCTAGCCTTCTTGGACAAGGGCAAAAAAACTAAGAGGTCCCATGTACTAGTTGCACACATTAAAGATCCCTTGGTAGTACAAAATCGATAAGAGTAGGTTTGAGCCGCCAACAAGATAAAATTCAAAATTATTTCCTACCAAACTGTAATGTTATGTGTACCATGCGCACATATGACCTTGTGCAGTTGTGAGCGCCATAAGAGACTTAGATCTACCCAAACCAAACAATAACAGATTAAGAAACGACTACAAAAATAAAATCATAATTTTGGACTTAAATTATACATCTGAACAGGTGGCCAACAATAAGACACAGAACAAAACAATAACCTCACGAACTCTTCATGTGGTACGTAAACATTTTATTCCTGTAGAGGAACCAAAAGTACAATGTCCATAAAGTTTATAATGCAAACAAACAGGGTTTACATTTAAGTACTATAATAACTGTATATTGTATATATATCAGAATCAGAAACACATTCGTCAATTTATCACAAATGTTAAATCCACCAAAAAACACAACCCAAAAACATTGCAATGAAAAGCCAAAAAAACCCACAGGAAAATTGTTGTTCAAAGTTCAAAACACTCCAGTCATTGCACATCCGTTCAGTGTTTAGTTTTAGAAAGAGTCTGGCTGCACTGCAACACAATTAGTGCAGATAAGCGCCAAAGATTAGAGGTGTTATTAGAGAGTAACATACAAAGAAAAGAAGGAGAGAAAAAAGTCTTTGATGTTTGATAGAAAAGAAGCAGCAAACCATACCAGAGCATCTGCCAACCACCCGCACATATCCATTCAAATTTGTTCAAATTGTAAAAAAGGTGACAAACCATGTACTTTCAAAAGTATGAGACAAACCCAAGTCCTCTACTCTATGACTATGAGTAGGCTATGTATTTCAAAAGTGAATTCTCCCTGACCAAAAGCTCCCAAAGCAAAGCTGCAGGCAAGAGACCTGAACAGCCAGCAACACAGCAAACATTTCACACTTCACAAAAACCCTGAACACAAAGCTCCCACTAGGGTATCTATGGTGGGCAAGGCACAGGAAACGTTTCTTCTTTTTGATTCGGCAAAAACATGGAACTGTCAGGAAAAATACAGGAAAATATGAGTCTTCGAAATTCTCCGTAGAAAATGAGAGACAAAGAACTGCGAGATTCACAGACTATAAACACAACATCAAGTGTACACAATAGAATGGTGTACAGAAAAAAGGAAAGACATGGGAAAACAGTCAAGAAGCTAACCCCAGATGGGAAAAGTGGAAGGCTTTTGTTCATGGCTTGTACCCTGTCACTGTGGTGAGAAAGTAAAGGCAGTAACAATGATGATGATGATGGTGAAGTGTATAGAGGAATCATGGACGATGATGATGATGATCAAGTGCAAATTACAATGAAGCCTTCCAAGACGATAAGTCAATTACAGTCGACTACGCTGGTAGCGATGTCGTTGGGGGACCAGAAAAAAGATTGCTACATCCGAAGATCGCAGCAGCCATTGGAAGAAAAATTCAAGGAAAATAATCCTAGTACTCAACCTCACTGTAGAGTTAAGATTCAGCTTCAGAGCTTATCATGTAAGGTTATCAATAGTATCATGTGGGAGATTGCTCGCTGAGTGTCCGATGCCTCATACTATTGTGTGAATGTGCGTAACATTACAAAACATCATCAGGTTCATCATGCTAGGTCAAAACAGGGAAACATCGTTAAAACCGTTATATTTTTACTATAAACTATATGGGCCAGAGATAAGAATATGCATCACTACAGCTGTCATGACGGATGTAGTGAATTCGGTACAACCGCTTCAATTTTATTGAGTTTGTGTTACATTGGTACCCTTTCCACTAAAAAAATCGCTATGTCCGAAGATCTTTACAACCGACTTCGCTACAAGTGGAGTGGACTGTATTACAAGGTATGATTCCTTCACCAAACCAGAAGTAGACTCTTAGGGGGGTAGAGTATGGTGGGATGGGGCTGCTTTTCACACAAAACAAAATTGTACACAGCTGGGCTCTTGGATATAAAAAGTTACTGGCAGATAGCATACCCCTCCCACCCCCACCCCTTTTCACACTGCAGATAGTAATTGTACAATCACCCAATAATTCAATTATGAATGCAACTATTCATTTGTCTAAGTCCAACTACACAAAAATTAGGTTATTATGAAATGAACAACAAACCCTGAAGATAATTGGAATCAAAATACACAATGTAAATAAATTTATGAGAAAAAGCAATAAAAATGGAAGTTATGAAAATGAAATTTTGTTACATTATAGATCACCTGTTCTCAAAATAACACAATTTCTGCCCTCTCCTCGTTGTTTTCAAAGAACACAAATAGCTCAGAAACCATAATTAAACACCAAATCATCATTTTTTAAAAGCCCCATCCAAGACGAAGGGCCAAAAGCATCATTGTTCTGCTCATCATTTTATAAGCTTTTGAAAACTTTGTGCATGCTGAAACAGTACACAGGCTGGGATGAGGACTTTCCTGAGGACTGATAAAGTTGGTGCAATAGTTTAGATAGCTGATTCAAACTTTATGAGTATGAGCTCAAACAAACGTAACAGGTAGATTACAATACACCAGAAACAGTAGGATCTGGTAAGAAGTATAAAGACTAGCAGCTAGCAGATATAGACGTTATTCAAACACCAAGCAATCACAGTCTACATTTCCAAAATTAAAGTATATAATCACCCACAAATATTTGACAATCATGTAGGAAAAAAATGTACAATGATGTGGCCTAAGGTCAGATCAAGAGGAACACTGACGCTGTTCTCTTCCTCAAACTTAGCACCAGTTGCAATCTGAACTAATTCTAATACAATGTATATCAATTAAGACTGATGCAATGTATATATCCCTTTTTAAAGATACAATGTATATTCTCTTATCATGCAATGCATAATCTTCACAGTCATAACATAATTGCTCAAGTCATTTATGTTTGTTCTGGTTTCCAGTATTTGGTAAGTTAAAAATGTCTGTAATTTATTTTGTATCCTCAGTATGGCAGGGTTGTGCCTCATTTCCCCAAAATTCAATGATTGAGACATTTTCACAATAGCACAAAAAGCCATACCGTTGACTAGGTAAGCACTGTTGTCTTTCGTTTTCTCAAAACAACCAAAAAAGGAGACCTGGAACAATTACTGGCCAAAGTGCCAGCCTTCATCCAAGTGCAAATAAAAGTAGAAAAACAAAATTCAAGCCTTTACGAGCATTCAGACAAGCCAAACAATTCCATAAGTACGGACAACAAAGCTCTGGGAGCAGGGGCCATAACTGAACACTAAACCCTGAGAGAAAAAAAGATTGCAAAACTTTTTGGTCGGAATGTTATGATACAAGCTAGCAGCTTTTGTAACAATGTCCATCAGTTAAAATACAAGCTAGCAGCTTTTGTAACAATGTCCATCAGTTAAAAATACAAGCTAGCAGCTTTTGTAACAATGTCCATCAGTTAAAATACCAGCTAGCAGCTTTTGTAACAATGTCAATCAGTTAAAATACAAGCTAGCAGTTTTTGTAACAATGTCCATCAGTTAAAAATACAAGCTAGCAGCTTTTGTAACAATGTCCATCAGTTAAAATACAAGCTAGCAGCTTTTGTGACATTGTCCATCAGTTATCACAGATTAAATACATTCACTAAACAAAAACACACTGAAACAACCGGGGGCAGGAACACTTTTCTTAAATAAAGTTTTTAGTTGCATCTGCACCTGCAGTCTAGAAAATCTAAAGATTTATCTTTGAAAAGAAGGGGCTGGCCTGGGGCAAATATTTCTTTGTTTCTGATTCCCCAAAAGGCCAGAAATTCTGAAAAGCATGCAACAGTAGTAGAAATAATCTAAAGCAACAGCACATCAATTTAGTAAAAAGTATGTTTCTTCAAAGGAAAAAATAAAACCGATCTCTTATTTTTATTATTATAGTAGAGGGTTTTACGGCGCTCGCAACTGCATAAGGTCATATGAGCGCCAAGGGGTGGGTGTCAACAGAGAAGTCTTTAACAGGGAATCAGACTTACTGTGCTCACCACTCTAGCTTCAACAGCACAAGGTCTGTTTCAACTATCAAGGCACCCCGGAAATAGCAGGTCACAAGAGTGTGACAAACATACAAAAGAAGTAGAGGAAAATGACAATAGTAAGGATTAGGAAAGAAAAAGCAGCAGTTCCCTGTTGTAGATCAGGCACAGTTATGAGCGTGACATGAATCAGCCCATTTACAATTCTACTGTGCTTGAACGAAAAATGTCCTTCCTTTGGGAATGGCCCAAAGACACTACTGAACCACTGTCCGATAAACAACAAGTTATAAAAGCTCCTAATCCTATCCTCTACATCAGTGCTTGTCAACTTTCCTATAGCCAGCACCCATTTTTGCCACTTTCACCAGGCCAATATTTCTGTACTGCCCACTAAAGAGTATTCCCAAGCGCGGCATAAAATAACAACCTGCCAGTACCCTGGCAGCCCCCATCGCCTAACATAACTACCAAAATCCCCCACTAGTGGATGAGACTTCCCAGGTTGACAAGCACTGCTCGACAGCACGTCACTGGACAGACAGGCATGAGCCCTGAACTACAGAAGAAACAAGAACAACAACAACAGCTCTTACAACAACGATATTGACGTACGTTCTTAACACGGCTCATCTAAACTCTCTCATCAACAAAGGATCATACAGGCACATCCATGGTGTGTTATGCTCTTAATGTTACCGATTCTTCCACATGTGTCCATACACACAACCCCCCCTCCCCCCCCAAACCTCCACTCACCTTTAACCTGTTACCTCCAGGAAGAGCTGTCCTAATCCATGCCCTGAAGTCCTAGACTGCCTGTTTACTTCAGTGACAAGGTTAAAGCATCACATCATTGCCATTTCCTTTCTCACATCCCTGAATACAAGTCAACTCAGAGATATGAGCCTTTGACAGAATGTGGGGGTGTTCGCAGGAGGACATTTTAAATCAACCACTACTCATGGAAAAACATGTTTTCTACCAAAAACATATTGTACATAGCAAGGAAATAAATTGGTCTACCCGCATGAGCAAATTAGATGTGCACATCTTATAATTCTTCACAGAAGGATAAAAGCACAAAATATATGTCATTTTTTCTTGATCTCGAGTATACACATAATAAATGGTTAAGTATAATCCAAAACTATTAAGCAAGGTACAATCAAACACTGAAAACATTTACACAATCATAATGTCATGACTCTATTGACAGGGTTTCGTTTTTACACATTGATTATATCATTACTGTTTAAAATGTTGACGTTCATAAATATCTCGAGTCATAATTTTATCATCAGACGTTCCTAGAACTAGAAAACCTACATCAATAAAAATACTATCACCATGAATGACTTGCGTTACACATTGGTTTTTCATTGGTCCACAAGATGCATCACTTACCTCCTAGCCACATGATTTTGTTGAAAAGTGACATTGATCACCAGAACTTTACCACAATAATGTTATGAACCAACAAATTGATCATATTTACGCAAAATATCATGTGTAGGACTTTCCGCTATTTCGCAACCACCTTTTACACTGTTGCATAAACATGTAAGAGCAGCAAGCTGATAATCCTAAAGAAGTGTGAAGAAGAGGCAAAAACAAGCAGGTCATAATGGGTCGTCCAAAATTATGAACAAGTTACAGTTGTTTTGATATCCAAATCTTAATTTTAAGCCAACTGTAGGATGTATTATGTCTATCTTGCATTCTGGTGTTTTGATCAAAATTTTCAATGTATGGGTATGTATTTTAATTTGTACCTTACTTTAGCAGTTATGGTTATGAACCAACTATTTATTGTCAATGAAATATATTTTGAGTGCTTTTCAATGGTAAAAAACTCTGAATTCATGTGCACTGATGCATAATATTATGAGGAGAGTCTGATGCTCATGTAATAAAGCATTTTATGTGAATGACAGATTAAATATATTAATTTTTGGGCCCCAACTGAAGTTTGTCATAATAGTTATGAATGAACTGTTTAACATGTTTGAGGGATTTTCTATTGAATATAAACTTTGAATTAATATCCACACATATGCTCATTTTGAGGAGAGTCTCCTTAATGAAGAGTATTTTATATGAATAACAAATCAATAAGTAAATATTGGAGGCCCAAACAAAAATTTGTCATGACAGTTATGAACAAGACAGTACGTCATCATGGTTACGAACAAACCTGTAATTTATTCATATGCCCTTGGACCGGTGTGCCTCAAAAAAATAATTGTTTAATTGTCTTTTATTTATCACTTAGTACTAATCAGACAGGACTTCAATCTTTGAGTACAATTTTGTCAAATAAATACACAAAATAGATAAGTTTTTTTGTCACTTATTGTTCTTCATAACTATTATGACACAAAAAAGTAATTTTATCAAATATTAAAGAGAATTCTTATTTACTGTCACTACTATGTTTTGTAAAAGTTGATTTCTCTATCTCAAAATATAACCTCAGCCTAACGGAAGAAAAGAGCTTTGGTTATTTATAAAACTGTGTCATTATTGTTATGAATAAAAATTTCACCATAACCATCATTTAAGCCAGCACAACACCAAGACCATTAAGCTTTGACAGTTACTGAACCAGTAAGAGCAATCATCAGGCTCAATTACAACATTAACAGAGTCATGAGGTGCTAACAAAAGAAACAAAAGACATGGACACTGCACAGGGTGTCTGTGGAAACAGTCTTATAAAACTCTTGTAGAAAGATGTCTGTCCTGGGAGATCAGGAGACAGTCAACTGTCGAATTTCATCGGCCAAGACTTTGGTGACCTTCATCTGCTTCTCCACCTCCGGGCCACCAATCTGGTTGAGCGCGACATTAGCGGCTTCTCTGACATGTGAGATAACATCATTCCTCCTGAGGAAACAAACAAAACAAAAAAACATTATCCACATTGTTACTCACAGATAAAATCATTCAACAACACTTTCTTGTAATGAAGCCTCTCTTTTTTTAGCTTTTAGTTTTAGTAAGAATTTTACTGTACTCAAGACAATTAGGTCATATAAGTACCAATGACAAATAGTGTTACTAGAGAGTAACAGGGAAAGAAAAGAAAGTGAGCAAAGGAAGATAGAAGATTCATAGGAAAGAATTTACTCCTAAATGATCTAAATTGTGTCAATAGGGGCATGAAACACCTGCATCAAAAAGTATTAATAAATAACCAAACACCCCCCCCCCCTCCCGAAATACTCCAAGGCAGTGCTGTAAATTTTTCCACCATCACAGAAGAAGTAAGCCAAAGATGGAGAAAAGATGAGGGAGACCCTTCTAAGGTAGAAGTAAAGCAGGTAGGAAACCAGTCCCACACCTGAGCTATTGTTCTCATTCTTCCTGAGAGAAAATGTTTTTGTGAAAAGGGTGGGAGGGGTGAGGGAGGGGTGTGTGCGCTCAGGGGCTTACAGCAGTTTGCTTAAAATGCAAGGCACCCACTGGTAAACTCACCACAAATGAAGCAGTTTGCTGACCGCCTGCTTGACCTTGAGATGGCCCAGGGCCAGACAGCCAGCCTCCCGGACCAAGCGGTCTTTGTCGTTGAGCGTTTTCATCAGAAACTTGTTGGTCACGGGGTCGTTAGTCTCTGTCCTGGCCAGGGACACGGCTGCCACCGCTCGGACGTTGGCATCCACGTCGTTGAGCAGGTCGCGTAACGCGTCAATGACGGCTGCGCTGTGGAACTTGCCTGGAACATGACAGCACATTCCAAAAAGTTAAAACATCATGTCAACTACAAGAACAGCATTGTGGGTCTGTTTAGTTTTGTTTTAGTTAGGGTTTTACTGCACTTGCGACACAAATAAGTCATGTAAATGCCAAAGAATAGAAGTGTTACTAGAAAGTAACAGACATAGAAAAGAAGCAGGAGAGATAAGGATGATAGATGTTTGATAGGAAGGGAGCAAAACACACCAGAGCATCCATCAACCACCCAGTGATCCTGAAGCCGTAATGTACAAGAGTGGGTGCTAAAGAAATTATCTGCATTATCATTACTATTATCATTTTAAAAAACAAGGGTTTCCACTTATGTCTTTTTTAAAGCCTCTCAAACACCTCTCAAACAGCCACAGCGTCCTGCCTACAGTACAGCGAGACAATCATCCCCCCTCACCAAGGTTCTCAATGGCTTCCACACGCACTGAAGACTCCATGTCAAAGACTTCCTTCATGGACCAGCTCTCTCGGGCCTGCTCGTCCACACGCTCCCATAGAGGGTAGTAGTTGCCTTCCACATTGCAAAATGCTGGAGAAGAGAAAAAAAAGGAGTGAAAAACATAAGACACTTAGATTCATTGAATCCTTACTGAAGCTGAATACATGATCCTCTTTAGAGATTTGTGAGAGTTTGTAAAACAGAAGTGACTAATAAATATACTTATTTTAAAGGACAAACAGAAATGTTCACTTTAAATGTACCAAATGTACTTTACTGACCCAATAAAGCCAAGCTTGTAGAGTAACCCTTCTTGATCGATAACAACATAGAGAATCCCTTACACTGGTGAGAACAAATAGAGAATCCCTTACACTGGTGAGAACAAATAGAGAATCCCTTAAACTGGTGAGAACAAATAGAGAATCCCTAACACTGGTGAGAACATGTAGAGAATCCCTAACACAGGTGAGAACAAATAGAGAATCCCTAACACAGGTGAGAACATGCAGAGAATCCCTAACACAGGTGAGAACAAGTAAATTTCACAAACCCATAAAGTCATGCTTGTAGAGAACTCCTTCTTCGACTTCCATCTCTCTATACAGAACGCCCATCAAGAAGTCAATTTCCTCTTTTTCACAAAACATTCGACTTAGTGGAGTTTCAAAGTCTTTCTTGAACTTTTCCATAAATCTGATAGAAAGGAAAGAGGTTTCAACATTATACAACACATACACGAGTTGGAATATTCCATCACTAAACTATCACAAACCTATTCATACTGTATTACTAAAAAATCACAAACTAAATACTGCTAAACTGAAGCATCAAAAATCAAATACTGTACAACTGAAGCATCATTTACCACCAGTTACTGGGAAAGATTTGAAAAAAATAAAAATAAACGTGGCTCACATTTAGCATGCAAACTTCTGTGTAATCATTCCTCATCAATGATGTAAAATTAAGACAATGCCTCATTGACCATGCAGTGATTGTTTTCAGAGACAATTAAACAACTTTATGTGAGGTGGAAACGCATAGAACCCTAGAATTTTCCTGAGACTTGAGGTTAGTTACCGAAACTACAACATGCCCTTATTAAAAACAAAACAGACATGTTATTATGATTGGGTGCTTGAACCTTGCTTCTTTTAGAGAATGAGGTCAGGGTTATGGGGGTCAGGGTGAGAAATCAAGGTATGGGGTCAGGATCAGTGTGTGAAGTCAGGGTGTTGGGTTAGGGTCAGGTTGTGACAATGGTAAAATGACAGTTCCAAGAGACCCAAGCTCCAACCCGGGTTCACTCACATCTCCCACTGCACCTCGTCCTTGGGCCCAAACATATCCTTCCAGTACTTGTCGGGCTCCAGGCTCTCCACCGCCAGGCGTGGTGTGCTTTCCTGTCGCTTGTTCTTACGGTTCAGGTTCTGGCGAGTTTGCTGTCGCTCAAGTTTTGGTCTGCTCTTTGTCTCTGTTGAAAAAAAAAAGGTATGAACATGTAAAGGTTTTTTGCCCTGCTTACCCCCCCCCCCCCCCCCCACACCCACCCCAAAACAAAAAAATAGAAAAAAAAACCCTGCTCTACCCCCCCACCCCCCAACCTTAAAAGGTTAATGTAAGAGGCAGGTCCTCCAAAATCAACACACATCTCCAATAAGACTGAGCTGAATGGGAAAACTCGTGTAAAGTGCTTTTTCACAAGTACACAACGACAAACCCAGCTGAGCCTCAAAAACTCACCAACATGACACTGACATTTCTCCTCATTCTCAAAACGCTGTTATCATCTTCTACCAAACATAGGGTAAAATCTTTGTGGAAATAATCCAGTACATCAGGAAGATAGCATCTGATGCAATTAACTCACTGACTACGGTTCCCGTCACAGATACGGGGTGGGTGGGTGGGTGGAGCACTTGTACGGATCCCATACCGCCAACGGGACAGACTTAGCACTTTTGTTCCAAAACTTGTGCTCCCTTCACAGGGAGGGGACTCCAGTGCTAGTTTTGCCACTTGTTTCGTTTCGTGCTGAGTTTGGTGGAAGTTGCGTGGTAAATTTTTAAGTAATTGAAGGTAAAGGACAGTCACCCCAACTTGGGTTGAACTGACCGGAACTCGTGCTATGTTTTTTCTATACAGCTGATAGTAATCACATAATTTCGCTGTTTTTTATACTTCTGTTCGTTTTTCTAGTTCTTGTGACTCAGAATATGATGTGTCTGATAGTTAGGACCCTGGATAAGGTGAACCCGAACACGGCCCGAGTCGTGGTTTTAGGGCTAGATCTAGCACTAGTACTGGTGTTGTTGCTCGCACAACGAAATCACAACTTAGTTCCCTACATCTGTCTCATGTAATTCACTGTATGGGTCTGAATCAACACACAGCTCAGCTTTTATATTTTCACCAAACTCTCACACATGCATACAAATCAAAACAGAACATTTTGAACTTTTATTTTTTTTTTTGTAGTGAATTCATTCTATCTGTCACCGCTCAGGAAATTTTTAGGAAAATCAAATACATGCCAGTTTTTTTTTTATCATAAAAATTAAAGTTTTAGACTTAGACAACTTTAATTTTTTGTGTTAGATTAAGCTTGAAAGTAACTTTACTTTTTTTAAAAATAATTACAATAGGGTAATACTGAAAGTTGTGGTGGTGTTTTGAAATACCCCCAAAAATGCCAGTATTCAGCGCTAGTGACTGGTGAAAGGGGCCAGTAGTCAATGAATTAAGAGGAAGTCAATTATATGATAACATGACACACATCTAAACAGATAGCTACACTATGACGGACAAGGACACATATTAAAAATTTACATGAAAATAATAAATCAGACACAATCATACGTATGAATAAGGAGCAACACAAACACACACAGTACAAACACAGGTACACACACACACAAAAACAAAGAATACCTACCTTCGCTGTCCTTCTCAACATTCTTTCCCTCAACATCTTCCTCCTGCCTCATCAACTCTTCCTTCATGGAGTCCAACAGCACGGTAAACTTTTCCTCAAAACTGCTCTCGTCTTTGCCCAGCAACGTCCACTCATAGCGGGCCAGCTGCAGCTTCCTTTGGACAGTCACATTGACAAGGCAACATATCATTATGGCAATCTCACTCACATGTTTCATTTGCTTCGGTTATGTTCATGAATCCTTTTTGCATGTACATAGTATGTGATAAAGGAAAAGTGCTTGAAGATAAATTTTTCACTTTGTATATGAATTCTTTTAGCATTAATGTAGGTGATAAAGAATCAGTGTTAGCTAGAAGGTAAGTTTTTCACCTCATTCATCAAATTATCAATTTCTTCCCCTGCATAAAAATCATACTGTTACTTATCACACCTTCCTCTCTCAATAATCATTTGAATATCATTAAAATGAATTCCTTGACTGTAACAGAAAGCAATGTGGTTACATAAGCGTATGTGAGAGGATATTGCAGGTGATATTAGATGATATCGTCCACAGGACCTTGCGCCCAGAGGCCTCAGTGTGGTGAAGTTGGTCGGCAATTAACCCCTTTCTTGCCAGGGGGTGCGCGTTCCTATTGTCAGCATAAATTTTCAGGATAGCAGTTTCAGGTCTCAGTGTTAGTGGAGTAACAGTCCAATCTAGCCCACTTGTAATATTTTGGACCCTGGGTCTTCGATAATGTCACTTTCCTCGTTCCCTATATACCCTATCTCTGCGGTAAACAAACAAAGCCTTTTTTTATTTTCAGCGCTGAATTTTTTTATTTGCTTAATCGAAAGTCTGATCAATTACCCTACTTGTGTGAAAAAATCAAAGTGAAACAAATACTAGTTTTTCAATGGTTACGATGACAAAAAGCCACTTTATCTCGAAACTGTTGTGAATTAAAAAAGGCGTTTTGTAATCTTACAACAGATCTTTTTTAAAACTTACAAATCTAATTAAAAAAGAGAAATCTGTTTTCTTTAAAAAGCCATTTGAGTGTTCACATTTTGCGAGAGCATGCAACTGGCCTGAGTTTATAGATCATTTGCAAGGATAGCAGTAAACTTATACAAGCAAATTTGGTACCGATAGAAGCATTTTTTATTCCCCAATATGAATCCACACTGTGCTTGTGGCTAATCTACGAACAGATGAAATAGAGCCAGATGATCTGCACGACTTAAATATAGGCGACCCAGTACAGAAAATTTAGCTAACTTCCATAATGTCCATGGTATGGCACAAAGCTAAAAATGACTTATTTTCGTGACTACCAGGTATGTAATTAAACAACGAACGGGTTACGAGTGCCACTCCGAAACAGCAGCCTATTCTTTGGCATGAAATGAATCACACGTGGAGTTCCAGCGTCTGTGGGGTTAGGCACTTTGCCGCTGCACACAGGAGACTCTTGAGTTCCCTTTTCACTAAATACCTCAGTCTCTCTGCTGAGATGTTGTATCTCTCTCAGCCAAAGTTGGCCTCCTAAATGACATAAGAATTTATTATTTTTAAATACATTCAGTAACTTTGATCTGTGGCAGTGGGAATTATGTATGCAGAAATTATTAACACAGCATGCCTACAGCCATCTCCCTTCTTCACACTGGTGTTGGGTATAGAGGCTTCTAACATGCTATAGTGCACAGTCTTAAGGAATACTCACATGCCGGTGTCCATGAGAGGGTAAAGTTCATCTGGTTCATCAAGGGCCAACGGAAAGATGGCTCGGTTTGACACGTACGCCAGGGCCAGCTCATCTTGGCAGTACTTGGACTTGACAGACGACGTGCTCAGCAAAGATATGAACAACTGAGGATGAAAGTGGCACACGATAACCGATAAAACGCCGTAAAGCCAAATGTGTTGGTTTTTAAATGTGGTTCACTTATTGTCAGTGCAATAATTGCCGAATTTCACCATAACCACGGTTTTTTTAAAGTGAGAAACAGGTCAACATATTACAGTCATCTAGCACTTGGGAAAGAAACAAGCAGAAACAACAGAGAGAAAGTAAAAAGGGAATAACTATCAGAGATGCCACAGGATCAGATTATGGTAATGCTTAAAATCATAACAGTGAAAAAAGAGGAATAGTCCACACCACAGCACCCACCAACAACCAATCTCAAAGCTCCTGAAAGCACAATCAGAGAGGAAGAATGAACCACTGGACTTAAAGAGCACTGTCAAAGACTGAATCATTGGACAGAGCACATACTCATTTTTGACTATCCCGCGGTCAAACGGGGTTACAACCAACCCAATCTAATTACGAGTCAAACTCCCTCTTTTTTTTTAAATGAAAGATTTTTATGCCCCCGTCAACACAATTTAGATCATTCAGGAGGCCAGGTTCTGACCCTGCCTGTCATGAGCAACTTGGACTGAGCTGAGAAAGATACAACATCCCTGCAGGAAGACCAAAATATTTTATTAAAAAATCACCCCCCCCCCCCCCCCGAATTGAACTTGGGTCTTCGGGGTGCAACAGCGAGTGCCGGTAAAAGCTCTTTTAATAAGCTTGAATTTGAAGAAAAACATTGGCACGAAGACCCAGCCACCACACACCCGAACTGCCTCCATTGGGTGTACAAATTTCCCCCACATTTTGACCAGTATGCCGGTCACTAGTGCCCGATGAGGCACTGCCGACTTAGGCCTCTCACCTTGCAGTCTATGATGGCTTCCCCAATTTTGCTGAGGAAATCGACACCTGCCTGCAGACCAGACACATCCACCCACACAGAGATGCCATTTTTCTCCAGAGTATCTGAGGGGGAAAAAACAAACAAACAAACAAATAATTAATTTTTTTCTTCTATTAAAAAAAATCCAGGCTGTTGCAGGTATGTTTCATTATTAGTGACAATACTTTACTCAAATACATCTATATGAGAAGCCAATCTTCATAAGTTGAGTGGTTTCCCAGAAAAGGAGATGACATTCTTTTTCATTTACTCTGTCACAGTAAGGGGTTAGCTTGAGTATCCATTTGATGGAGTAAACAAAGTTTTAAGTTTTAGATACTTAACCTTTAGTGTCCTAAGTTTTCCCCAATTATTACTCTCTATTATCCTGACTTTTTTTTTCAATAGAACAGTTAAAAAAGAGCCCATGGTGTTGTTTCCTAAATAACTTTAATATTTGTACACAGATTTCTTCCAAATTTTCACACAAGGCAGATAAATGGACTGGCTACCCCTGAATGCAACAATGAGTCAAAAAGTAGGTCAAGGTGACCTTAAGAGTGAGCACTGTTGATCTAATAATGAAATTTACTCACTTTGTTCACGGCTGATGAGCAGTATCAATAGTCACATATAATATATTATTGTGGTATGCCTCAAAACAGTCTTTACAGAGTCCCTTGTTGCAAGTAGGGCAGTAGACTGTTGTTTGCACTGGTTTGCCTGACTTAATGCGATTTTCTTGCTTCTTACACTGAGTGCAGTCAGATGTGGCTAAACCTTTATCAAGATGTTCATGTCCCCTTTGCCCAGCATTTAATTGGTTTGGTTAGTTAATGTCACACAAAAATTCTGCAGAAAATATTCAATAGGTTCTGAGTCTAGAGCTAATGTTTTAAGAGGGACCATAGGTCTCTGTCCAGAGCCTGTGGAGTCATAACTCCAGCTATCAGTGGGCGTGGCACATGCATTACCACCATCAGCTGTAACTGCGTGAGTTCCCAGAACTAGATCTAGGCCTAGTACTAGTGCTCTTTTCATTATCATTATCTGAATCTTGACTTCCCATCCACTGAAATATCTGACTGATTATCTATAACACCACTGTCAGGAAGAACCGGGCAACTCATCTTCAGATAAATCACTCATCCCGCTTCTTCAAAGCCACCAACTCTCTCAATTCAGCTATCAAAGCTTTCTAGTGTTAGCAAACTTAAACACAGTTGTTTCCCCTGACACAGGCAGCAGAAAGTAGTGATAAGTTGAGTCAATTGAGAGCAGTGGTTTTCAGCGCTATAGGATTCTAGGGCGGCAGCGGATAGCAGCGGTATAGGACGCTAAAGGTTAAACACTTGTTTTAAAATATATATTAGCATTGTTTTATTGTTTCAGGGAGTAATATCCTTGCATTCCGGACACGTCCATTGATGCCCCCTTGCTCTCTCCAAAATGCTACTGAGGGTCTTTCTACTGATTGTGCCAGAGCATATCTGGTTGAATGTTCTTCTGTTCTTTCCAGCAAAGGTGCCAGATTTTCCCCTTTCTTTCTGTACTCCCAAAACCATCATGCTCTCCACAGCAGTACTGGCCTCTGCCTCCCTATCTTCCTCTTCAGTCAAGTGGTGAGAGAGACATTTCAGGATCTCGACCGTGTCTGTCGGCTTTTTCATTCCCTTTAACGCCTGCATGGCCAAGGCAGAAAATCCATGTGAGCAATCTTATTGGCATTGCTTCGATCAGTTGAATCCATTCTGGTGTCAGGAAACCATTTTCGATCTTTCTGAGGGTACACATGGAATCTGTGATGAGAACAGCAAGGGTTGTTTGGGAGCGATCTTGAGTCATCCATTTAAGTGCTTTCGTGATGGCTTCAACTTCCACTCCCATACTTGATGTAGTCCTGCTGCAGGCTCCAGATGCATTGTGTATGATTTTATTGTTGGCGAATGCAACAAAACCCCATCCACTTCTCTGGCTATCTCTTTTCACTGAACCATATCTGTATAAATTACAGGATTCCCTGCTTCTGAGTCTTTGTCAACAATCTCGTTGATACCGCTTTCGCTGATGGAAGCTGCAACATTTCGTATGTCTCTGCCCATGCTTATTTTGACCTAGGTGAGGTCCCTGTATTCTCCTGCCACCTGTTCCCATTCTTCGCCAAGTGGTAGATTTTCAGGTACACTGATTTTTTTCAGGGAATCCTCTGCTTCTGCCATCTAAGACTTTCCTCTTTTGATTCTGCTTCTCCTGTTGTCATGAAGTGCTTTGTGTAGTGGCTGATCTTTCTTGCCTATTACACTGAGATACATCTTTGCTTGAGCTATCCTATGGTGTACTCTGATGCAAATTAAACCTAGCAAATAGCGCATGCACAATATTGGAGTGTCCTTGGTGCAGCCCAGCTCTGCCCTCATTGCTTCATTCTGCAATCGATTCAGCTTTGCAATCTGTGTGTCGAACAGCTTGAGAGAGCCCAATCTGTAATCAATGACAGACAAGATGACCAGCTGCAACATCAGGTAGAGCACTCAGTGACAGCCATGGTCTTGACTGCACCCACACCTCGTTTGGCCCTTGTAACAACATGATCCACATGCTTGTCGAAGGACAATGACCAGTCAAAGACGATTCCCAGATACTTCAGCTCTGACTGTCTGTCGATAATCTCATAGTTGCAAGTGATGCGTGGAGTTATGTCTTGGACCAAAGCACCTGCGCTTTCGAAGGATTGATAACTGCTTCATTTTGGTCGCACCATTTAACAACTGGGCGAAGTCCTTTTCTCCATGTTCCCAGCTATCTGAAGTCTGTCATCTCTGTGCTCGTATGCCATTATGTCATCCGCAAAGCTCAGGACAGGTCCAGATTCCTTCTAACGCACCGTTACCTGTGCAGTGCACACATTGAAAAACACAGGAGAAAGGGGGGATCCTTGGGTCAAACCTGGAGAAATTAATACGGGATCTGAAGTCCATTCATCCTGTCTCAGAGCCATTTTTCTCTCCACTACTGCTACTTATCTTACCAGCTATATGTCCAAATCAAATTTCAGGAAGCCGTCGATCAAACGTTCAAAGTTGACTCGGTTGTAAGCATCTTCAAGGTCAAGTGCCGTCACAACTGTCTCCTTCCACTGCTGAAAGCCTTCATAAAATTGACGGCCACATTCACTGCAATTTCTTGATGGGATCTATAGCTGCCAAGCTCATTTGGCAACAGGGACTTCTTATCTAAGGGTGCTGATATTCGTCCGGCAACTATCTTTCCAGATTTTTCCCATAGAGGCGTTCTGCATGGCTATGATCCTGTAACCACTGAGAGCAGAGTGGTCTTTTCCTGGTTTGGATATTGGTATCAACCAGCTGTGCAACCATTCTTCAGGGATTTTGCCAGTGCCAATGCTCATGTTGAAGAGTATGTTAGCAAAATCCTTCTAAATATAAACTTACAAATTGTTTACATTTCCAGATTTCATTAAACTTTATTTGTAATGGAAACAAAGGTCTCGCTACATTTTTAACAATATCTCAAAATAACCAATGGACTTTCTCAGAGCCCTTAACAAACACTAAGTTGGGAATTCTAAGACCAACATTTTTTTTCAAAGGGTCTCCAAACCTCGACATTACCTTACCTCTTATTTTAAGCATGAAATCTTTATCTGCATGACTGTAGCTGATCATCAAATCTTTCTGGGACTGACTGTCACGAGGTGACAGCTTGGATGGAGGTTGAGGATGACTCGGATGGGCAGTATCACTTTCGGAGCCTTCTGTCCTTACAACATTCTCAACCTTGCCAGGTTCATCTGGCTTGATGGCCACATTGGTGGAAAACTTCATACCCGGCCTTGATGAACCCGGGGCAGCACTACTCGCTGAAGAACTTGACCCTGTACCTGTACGTAAAAATGGAGATATAAACACAGGTTAAAAAAGAATCTTATGAAGGAAGGGAATGAGAACGAGCATGGGTTGCACAACATCGGATAGTAACTGATTTCACTGACTCTGCATTACTTTTGGAATACTTTGCCCGAGTTGATGGGTATGACTCTCACACTGTCTGACGAGTATGTGACCTTTCTCCAGGGAGCATGTGAAGGTAAAAATTGTAGTGTGGCAACTGTACACTGAAACCTTTGCAGTCGGAGCACGTTTAGCAAAAGGATTAGCAGGCCCCAAACAACGCAGTGCCTCATAGCATAGACATACATGTGGTCGCTTTTAAAGACAAGCGGGCTAACCCAGATTTCGGGGGTTTCCAGGAATCTTGACCAACATAAAAAATGGCCCTACCTCTAGGAGAAGTTTGGTTTAGTTGGTGTGTAAATTTGATTAGTAATAGAGAAAACTCTCCTTGTCTTTTTTTCTTAAAACAGCATTTTTCAGGATAGCTCCCTTATGCTTAAAAGCAACCATATGCAATAGGCCCAAAAGGTATTAGTCTTTTTATTACATTGGTCTATATTAGGCCTTAGAGCTCATCCATAATCAAACCTCTAAATTCACTGGAAATGAAAACAGCTGACTACTCAAAACAGTTCAAATTAAAAAACTTTTCTTTACTAGACGTTTTACGGCCTTCGCAACTGCATAAGGTCATATGAGTGCCAGAAGACTAGAGGTGTTACAAGAGAGTAACAAACATGAAAAAGAAGAAGGGGACATAAGAACGATAGATGTTTGACAGGAAAGAATAAGCAAACCACACCAGAGCACCCGCCAACCACCCACTCAGTTCAAATTATAATTAATACTAACAATATGAACTTATAGAATCATAGAGAAAAACCAGCTCCATGTCTGTAGTACACTACTAACTCCATAGTGAGAAAGGTAAATATTTCACACACAAAAAAGAGACAATGACAAAAGAGGACTTGTCGTACGTTATACAGGACAACTTTTAGATATAGGCCTAGATTCCAATATAAGATCTATCTGCTTAGATTTCAGATTCTAGAAGAGGCCTACAAACTTTTTAAAACTAGCTCACTTAACTCATTGTTGACGGCCTACGAGAATTCTCGTATCCAAGCAGCCACCTGACTACGAGAAAATATCCCTTTGTCTCTCTAAAACCAGACTTGTAAGTGGCCCTCAAAAGAATTGCCAGAAAATCTGAAGGGGCGTAGCCGCCGCACCAACGCAGGTGTGAGGCCCAATTGAAAAATTTAAGGCTTCTAAACAGACATCTGAAGGCATTTTCAGCTTTGAAAAGTAAAATATCAGACCAAAAAGAATATCTATACAGTAGAACATGGCTATAGCGGGACTTTTGGTTCCAGAAGAAAAACCCAGCTGTAGGTGAGTTCTCGTTATAAGAATGCAAAGGGGAAATTAACGAAAAATTCTTAAATATCTACCTGATAACATCCCTCCCATATTAATAAAATATATAATTAGTTTTCCTATTATTGTCAACTTCATTGATTATCTCGGCCTTTAATTCGAGTGAGAAGCAATTCCTTTAGTCTTTGTTGAAAGCCATCTTTTTCTCAGTTTGTAGCTTGTGCTGTCTATCGTACCGGTAGGCCTATAAGTAGAACTGGTGAAGTGGAAGCGCGCATACGCCAGAATATCAACAACCGCATTTCAAGGAATCAGAAATCACAAACTACACGCTCTCCTCTTCTTTTACTTTTTGGCCTAGCTTAGGTTATGGCCTATACGCTCTTATACAGTACTGAGCGTCTAGGTTATGGCACATCACTTTAAATTCAGAAGTTGCTCATGTAACGTGTCTCTCCGCACCATCTCTCTCTGCCGCCTGCCCACCTCACTCATCGCTGGACGGGTCAATCACAACGCCGCACCGCAGACTGCCTGTTTGGATCCCGCCTACAGCCCCCCACCCCCAACCCCCTTCCTCACAACTAGAACTCGCTCAATCTCTCCCGTTGTATCCAAGTTTGGACCGTTCCTTGCCCCGTTAAACCCGAGTACAGGTAATTGAGGTTGCATAGAGATTCTGGTAAGGTCCCGCTGCAGCAGGTGCCGCGACAGTTATACTCTACTGTATAGATCTACATCATTTTTGGAGTGGTTCACGTAACATCTCTCCACACCATTTCTCTCTCTCTCTCTTGGCCTACCGCCCCCGCCACCTCATCAATGGACTAGCCAATCACAATGTCGCACCGCTGACTACCTGTTTAGAGCTTGCATACAGCCCCCCCCCCCACCCCCAGCTAGACCTCGCTCAATCTCTCCCGCTGTATCCGAGTTCGGAACTTTCTTTGCCCCACTATACCCAAGCATAAGTAATTTAGTTTACAAAGGGAGAAAAATGTGGATTCCAGTAATGTCCCGCTGTAGGGATGGTCCTGCTATAGTCATGTTCTACTGTATATTGTCTATTGAAAAGGGAGAGTAAATCAACTGGGTATCACTTCGGCTTAGTTCACGTTTCCGTACTTCTTTTGACAAAAAAGTAAATTTCGCCTGAAAATTTTTGCCGGCCAGACGTTTGGTCGGAAACCCGCCCTACCGGCCAGGGTGGAAAAATTTAAGTCAGAGTCAAAATTGCCGGATCACTTACACGTCTGTAAAACTTGCTCCAGGCAATAAATTCAAATTTAAAAAAAAAAAATCTTAGAACTTAGAGTAACCTTTCATGCACTTCCATGCACTTATTGTCCGTGCTAATTTTGCAGCTGTTTAGAGGGAAAGTTATTGCAGTTTTAAAGTGGGTAACTATATTTGTGAGTGTGGCTGGAGGCAGCCTAGGTAGATGTGTTTGCTCAGGGAGGCAACTGAGGTGGAAATGGGAATGAAATGAAGTAGAGAAAGTATTCCACGTCAATAACAATACATGGGGAGGACTTCCGTAACGAACGACCACTATGAGACAGAGTTGAACAGAGGGGTAGGGGTAGGGGTAGGGGTAGGATTCGGGTTTGTCGGGCTGTCATTATTCTGTAACATTATAATATTATTCTCACCAGGGGTGAGAAAAAAATGGATAATTTTTCTCACCCCGGGTGAGAATAGTACAGTGAAACTCAGATTTAATGAGAACACGGATGCAACGAGAGGAGATGGATTCCCCGTTTTTTTTCTCTTTAAAAATCAATCAAAATAACACGGACTCAACTAGCACTTAAATCAGCAAGCTCGGATTCAACGAGGCCGCTACCAGAGTGATCAGCCCCCGCAGACGTGGCTTTGCTCATTTTTCTCCCACAATGAACTTTATCTATTCCCTGAAACCATCCATTGCTTGCACCTGTATCGAAAACTATTATTCACTAAGCCAATTGCATGCGACCAATCAATGGCCTTCTTTCATACCAACACATTCGTTGTTAGCATGCGTGTGTCAGGATTCGATGGGCGGTATGCACACGTGAGACTGTATGTGCGGGTCGGGGGGCACCAGCGGGCTGGGGGTGGAACGTCGCAGATACAAATACGTCACAGTATTTTTTTCCCCCCGGCAACTGATCATTAATTACAAAGCTAGTCTTGATGTAGATCTGTGAAATGAATAGTGCACTGGTCTATGGATCTAAAGTAGCCGTATGCTAGGGTAGGCTCTACACAGCAACACAACTTTTTGGTAAACAATCGAGATGACACAGGCGTGCATTTGAAAGAATCGGTCTTTTTTTTTTCGTACAGCTCATAACGGGCAGGCATGTCGGGCACCACATGTTACTTCTCCTTACATGATTACTTGCTCAGGTCAGTGCCTGTAATTATCTACACAAAACCTCATGTTTGCTGTAACGAACACTTGGATTCAACTATATTTTAGGTCAGGCCCGGTGACCTCGTTTAATCAGAGTTCCACTGTATTCGAGGTGGCTACGTTCACAGCTCCGCGTTCACGGCGCGGTGAACATAGTTGGCAGGCTACGTTCACGGCGCCCTGAATGCAGTTTGCAGGCGCTGTTGAGGCTACCTCAATGTTCAAGGCACTAAAACTAAAGCTCCGTTTAGATGGAGCGTCCATTGCCGGTTTAAGTCAGCCAGTTTTAGTCAGTGACGACAGTAACGTATTTAATATTTTGGCCAGCTTCAAGTGTTATCCCATGAGGGTGAAGCGAGAGAGGACTTCCATTCCTAGATTCTTTAGGCCTAGATCAGATCTAGAGTCTATATTATTTCGTATTAAATTATATACTTGGACTTGTACCCCTGGCACTAGACCCAGGCAGGGTGATCTTACTAGATATAGATCTAAGCTATCCTAGGCTAGAGGTGTATCTATCTATCTAGATCTATCTATCCCACACACACACACACACACACAAGCGTGCGCGGACCTCTAGCCTACAATAGCTTTGATAAAATCAATAGAAGAATAAAAGAATTTAACGTGCTAAAATATAACATCACCCCAGGCAGGCATAGAGAATCTATGCCTACCTTGAACTTTGTACATCTACTTGCCTTTCTTGAACTTATACATGATAAATCATAAGCTTAGCACACCGAACCAAGCCAAAGCTGAAGATTCTTCAAAAACCGAAGTAGCCTCTATGCTCTATCCTGGTGGCTTTCCTGGGCCTGGGTCCAGTTCCAGAGAAAACAGCAGCGGCAGTGACTTGAAACTTCCTGGTTCAACTTGCAGGACTTCTACTCCCAGACCTTCAGGTAGATAAGATTAGAAAATATATCTACTGTCCTGGGGTTTGACGGTTGACACCAGGGCGTGCGAGGCCTACTTTAATGACAACAACTGAAGTAAATTATTGATTATGCCAAGGAAAGGCCTGTAAAATAACAACTGAGAGTAAGTGACAAAAAAAATGACAAATTGAAATGCTCCCAGATTATTATTCAGTGCCCACTGAGTTTATATTGGCACAAAAAGAAAAGGCAGAGAATCGAGCTTTTATGTTCTGAACACAGAATTCTGAATAAGATTAAATAAGTAATAATGTGTTGGTGAAAAAATCAAATTTGTAATTTTAGACCAAACACATATGTAATACAAACAGAGCTAATCGAATAGTGGAGAATTTTCCTATTCTTCGTATGCTATCTCGAAGACTGTGTCAGTATTCACCAGCTATAAATACCAAGCAGTGCTGAACCTGTATTTACTTCCTTTCAAGAACGAAAGCTAAGACAGCAAGCACAAGTTTCATTACATTCCTCTTACATTTTAAATACTAAGACACAAATTTACATTGAGTACTTCTGAGCTAAACGGCTACTATTTTTGTTGAAAAGTCTTAATAGTCCTATTACAAATTTTATGACAGAGAGGTTGCAGTAAAATGCAATGTTTTGTTGAAGTGGGATTCAGCCAATCCACCTTTTTTGCTGCGCCTTTGTTTACCTTCACAACTTGCGCAAAGAGGCTACGAACTTGCGTAATAGGCCTATATCAATCATTAAAATTTTCAGGTTTCCAGCCAAACCTATAGAAACAACTAACGAAACTTGCAATAAGCTGTCAAACTTTGATGTGGATTAAGTTCTGTGTTTTACATGCCGTCAAAGTCAACTTAAATCAAACATCAGAGAGGACGCCGTTAATAGGCCTACTAATACTATTATACTATTATATTATATTATAATGGCAATAGTAATAGATATTAACGAATTTGCACATTACCAATGATAAGAAGGGTAACGCAGAAGAAAAGAAAACTGCCCCTCCCCCCCCCCCCCCGACAGAGACAGGGACTTTCTTTCAACCAAACGACTTAAAAACTGGTGTATTTTCTGTATGACATGATATCTGCCAAACTGGCAGAGCAAACTACATGACGACGGACGACGTACATGTTGGCCACCCATGGACTTAGGTAGGTCCATGAGGCTACCACCAAAGATCTTGTAGATAGTAGAGAATCTTTGCTACCACATAATTCTATATAAAAGCTACCTTCACCACCGATTCTATTCTATACTCTATTCTGCCGCAATGTTTTAGCTTCAATTCCTCACAGCGAATCAACGGTCGCGAGAGAGTAGTTCCGTTTCTAAAAGTGTAGAATTCTGTAACATGTATTGTGAAAACCAGATATAACAGGGGTGGTAGGGCCAGAGGAAAAAGTCCTGTTATATTAGATCCCTGTTAAATTAGAAACGCAAGGGAAGTAAGCATTTGTGAACTAATCCAGCTGTATTTATTCATGGGTAGTTTCCCTTGTCACAACTACCCACGAACAGCTCTCTCTTCATCCACAGCGTGTGCTTGCAGTGGCGTGGCTTGCATGGGTTTGCTCCATCACTGCGTTACACTCTCTCTCTCTCTCTCTCTCTCTCTCTCTCTCTCTCTCTCTCTTTCGCTCTCTCTCTCTCTCTTTCGCTCTCTCTCTCTCTTTCGCTCTTTCTCTCTCTCCAACTTTTTACACATTGTTAACGAGCCTTTGTCCCTGCTATAACCTATTGGACTCCGATGAGGCCCTGAGTGTTATTGCCAATAACTTTTAATAGAGACAAAGAGTAGGAAAAAAAACGGGGATTTAAACATCCTTGTTATTACCGGATCCCAGGTATTACGAGGCCTGTTTTATAAGGTTTCCACTGTACTCTCTTTGTCTTGGCTAGCTAGCGGTAGCCACCATAGAGTTATCTCCTTTAACTTTTTAGACTGGAGTAAATCTGCGGTAGCCACCAACGCACGTTTTCAAAGTGGGGTTGTGACTTAAAATTACGGAATTGTAAATTTTAAAGAGCGTTTCCCAGTAAAGCAATGAAATTGAAATTATAGCTAGCTCTCGAAAGTCGTAAAAATTTTAGTTACGAAATTCTGAGTTAAAAAGAAACTGCATTGACAGCTCATAAGATTACGAAGAAATACGACAGTTACGTTCAAAGGGAAACTGTCACCACCAGAGTTGTTTTTTTTTATACCAACCGTATCCAAAAACTGTTGTTGTTGTTGTTGTTGTGTGTGTGTGTGTGGTAGCCTATCCGTTCGAAATGTTCGGAGCCCCGAAGAGTGTGCTCTTCGCCAGGGCCACCGCCCCCCTTGGGTAGCGGGTGAGGCAGTCCAACCTCCCTGAATCCTCCCCGAAGAGATGCCACCGCCCGGCCTCCGTGGCGGGGCATCTCTGCAGCCAGTGCTCCAAATCTTGGGGCTCCTCGCTGCACAATGGACATATTGGGTCCGATGTTTTGTCTATTCTATTTTTGTAGGCCCGAAGCCCAGAGAAATGACCGGTCCTGATTTTTGCCAGTAATGACTGGTCACTGCGGGACATAATAAGAGCCTTTCGTTTTAAGGAAAATGCCCTGTATACTTCCTTCGTCCGCGTGTGGCATATAGGGGGGGTCTTTTGTAATTAGTTTTATCTGGGCGCACGCACTGTCATAAGTAATTTGGCGGCCTGGACCCGGCAGCGCTGTTGCCAGTTTGGCATTACTGTCAGCGAGATCGTTGCCGAGGATATCGCGGTGACCAGGGATCCACTGAATCGTGGGTTGAGGTATTGCATTATTTATGCGTAGTCGCAATTGGTCGAAGGATGGTGATGTTCCCACTAGTGCCATGCATAGTGATTGACTGTCGGTGAAGATAGCGACCGAGTTGGATGCATCGCACTCTTTGTCAATCCAGTCAATGGCCATTTCCAAGGCTCTCCTTTCTTCCTCGAAAGAGCACGTAAATATGGCGCCTTTCTCCCTCAATGTCTCGACAACGGTAGGGTTGGACGGGTTCCCCGTTGTGATGACGACTCCAGCGCCGCCGCCCGTTGTTCCTGCCCTAGCCGAGCCGTCAGTGTAGATATTGTACTGTGCGCCAAGCTCTCGTGCTCGACGAACAGCAGCGCTTTGAATCTTCCCACTGGAGTCACTCCTTCCGCTTATGCCGTACAGGTGGGGAAAAGTGATGTCGGGGTTGATTCCACGTTCCCAGGGCCTGGTTTCGAAGTAAGTGATGGGCCTCCTCTCGCAGTCGAACAGATGTGGGCTCTTTTTGCTGACGTCTTCGGCCCTTTTTCGGAAATCCCTGCGTCCTTTTAGGCGTCTGTGCACTTGCTCCGTTGCCGCAATTCGTCGAGGGTGGTCGTTGTTCAGTCGGAGGGCCTTCTCTCTTGATCGGAGACAGCATTTATGGTGGACTGAATGCTTGGGACCCCCGTTTCAGCTCGAAGTGCCTCGATCGGTGAGGACTGGGCTTGGGTGGTAATCAGTCGCAGACATCTGTTTTGAATCACCTCCAGATTATTTATCAGAGTTTTGCTCAGCCACGGTTGCCAGCTGCTGCTCGCAAAGTTGAGAACACTTTGTATATGAGTGAGGTAGACCTTGCGTAGGTCGTCTTTCCTCCATCCCCATTTTGAGTGCGCTACAGCGCCGAGCATCCTCATCTTCTGTGTGGCCTTAGCTATTACTGTCTCAACCTGTTTCCGGAACGTGAGCCTGCGGTCGAGTGTGACTCCCAAGAGTCTTGCGTAGGGCTCATACCTAATTGACGAATTATTTATCGTGATGCACGGCTTCCATTCCGAGTCAGATGTTGCGAGCGTGAAGAATGTTGTCTCGCTCTTTGAGCCGTTTAGCGTGAGTTTCCATCGCCTGCTCCAGTCAGCAACGATGTCCACCGCTCTTTGTGTCAGACTTTCGGCGTCTCGTGTCGTGCGTGATGAAGCGAGGATAGAGACGTCGTCAGCGTAGAGTGAAATTGTGAGATCGTCCGGAAGTAGTTTCGCCAGTTCGTCGATATAAAAAAGGAAGAGGATGGGTGCCAGGACCGAACCTTGTGGGAGACCTTGGTTCATTTTCCTGCTATTACTCAGTATTCCATTGAATCGGACTCTGGCTTGACGATTTTGAAGGAAGCCATTCAGCCATAAAACGTATGTATCTGGGATACCTCTGTCCAGGAGGGTGAGGAGTAGGCGTTCTCGCCAGACCGTGTCGTATGCCTTTGAAAAATCGAGGAGGACGAGTAGCGATTTCTCCTTCTTTTGGAAGCCATCGGAAATCTTCTGCGTAATTCTCAGAATTTGGTCTTCCACACATCTCCCCTTCCTGAAACCAGCCTGCAGTTCGGAGAACCAGCCGTTCCGCTCGGCCATGTCGTACAGTCGTTCAGATACCATTCTCTCCATAACTTTGATGACACAGGATGTGAGGCTTATCGGTCTAAACGACGTTAGTTCCGATGCTGGTTTGGCGGTCGTGTTGTTGTTGTTGTTGGTTTGTGTTTGATGGGGGGTTTTTTGTTGGGTTTTTTTTTTTGGGGGGGGGGCACTTTTTTTCCGCAACCGTCTCCACTACCTGTTGTTTTTTCTTGTTCTTTTTTTCCATTAACAATCTGTTTTTTAAACAACTGTCTCCCCAATTTATTTTTTTAAATCAACAGTCTCTACTTGCGTCTTTTTTTAACCAACCGCTTCCACCAGATGTTTTTTTCTTTTTGTTTATCAACTGTCTTCACTAGCTTTGTTTTCTTTGTAAAAACTAACTGCCTGAACTGGCTGTGTCTTTTTCCCTCTCACCTGCCGTCTCTCGTCGTAGCACTTTTTTTGTTGTTTTTTTTGACTAACTACTGTATCCACTAGCTGCTTTTCCTTTTTTTCTGCTATCCGTCTTTCTCCGCTTTTTATTTTTACCAACCGTCTCCACTAACTTTTGTTTTTGACCAACCGTTTCATCCAGTTTTGTCATTCTTTTCCCTTTCAACCATCTCCACTGAGGTGAGTTTCTTTTTAATGAACTGTCTCCACCAGCTGCGTTTCTTTTTAAATACCAACCGTCTTCACTAGCTGTGTTATTTTCTTTTTTTTTTACCAAACGTCTCTCACCAACCGTCTCCTTAGCTGTTTTGTTTTTTAAACAAACCACTTCCATTAGATGTGGGGTTTTTCCCCAACTGCTTCCACAAGCTGGG